ATGTGATAACTGACATCTTAACACTGAGGTTTTCAGATAGCGAAAATACAATTTTAAGTCCTCAAAGCCTATATTCTCAAGGCATATTTAGAGCTTCCTATAGACTATGATGATAAATTTATGACGAGGTGGTTAATTCCTGGGTCTTTCCACAGAAAATAGATGATGACAGTACTATATAAAAAAGTTCAAAAGCCCCATTTTTTTCAGGTGGAAGGTTTCTTCCTTGCTGTTGTCATTCTCTTGATTTCCACTGCCTCAACACAACCGCAAAAGGGTTGGACAAGCCTAATGCCTGAGGAACCTCTAGATTTTCTCAGACAACTCAAGCCCAAAGAAATCCATAACAAGAGACAGTCAAGATAATTTTCATTGTTTCAACAAAACAGAGCAAGAAAACAACTTGAGATAGATTCAAGCGCATTAGCTCAGCTTCTAGAATTAGTTTAGGCAAGACAGGGACCATCAATTTGTGACCAGCAGGTCGAGGGAGGGGATTCTCCCCCTCTATCCCACTCTCATGAGACCCCACCTGGAATACTGTGCTCAGCTCTGGGGTCCCAATAGAAGAAGGACACGGACCTGCTTGAGCAGGTCCAGAGGAGGCCATGAAGATGACTGGGGGGCTGGAGCACCTACCCTATAAGGACAGGCTGAGAGTTGGGGGTGTTCAGCTTGCAGAAGAGAAGGCTCCGGGGAGACCTTATAGCGGCCTGCCAGTGCTTAAAGGGGGGACAGGAAAGGTGGGGAGGGACTCTTCATCAGGGATTGTAGGGATAGGACAAAGGATAATGGTTTTAAAGAAAGAGGGTAGATTTAGATTAGATATGAGGAAGAAATTCTTTCCTGTGATGGTGGTGAGACACTGGCCCAGGGTGCCCAGAGCAGCTGTGGGTGCCCCCTCCCTGGAAGGGCTCAAGGCCAGGTTGGACGGGGCTGGGAGCACCCTGGGCTGGGGGAAGGGAGCCCTAGCCCAGGGCAGGAGGGTTGGAACTGGATGATCTTTAAGGTCCCTTCGAACCCAAACCTTTCTATGATTCTATGAACTTCTATCTTATAAATGTCTGAGACCATTGCTAACTTTTGTTGGAAAAAACACCTTGAGTACATGTGTGAGTCCACAAACATTAGCTAATACATCTAAGCTGCTTCTCTAAGATACTCTACTTTGCTCTCCCTTTCAAATCTTTTGTAAGGACTTCAGACTTTCCATCACAGTCATTTACTTCATAGGTAGACAAATGATGAAGCCCGTGCCATTATTCAAAAATTTCTAAACATTCAAAGAACAGTTCTCTCTCTTTTTATTATTTTTTTTTCCAGAATATGTGGCTCAGAGAAAATAAAAGATGCTTGGAAATGTTGCTATAAAAGCCTTTTTTATTTTGAGGGGAGGAGTTGTAAAATGTACTTCTACCTTCACAAATAAACAGCATGAAAATAACAAGCAGCTCAGGCATGGTAATACATCTCCTTCACATCCATGTCAATAAAAGCATTATACCACATTGCTCCATAATGTATTCTATAACTATGGCATAGCAACAACTGCTTTCAGTAAGGAGTGGGTTACAGGCTTCAGCTTTAAATCTGAATTTCACCTTTCAACAATAAGAATGAAGAGAAAGATTAGGAAGTTTGATAGCTATTAAATTTTTAAGGGGAAGCTTAACATTAAAAACCTGATACATTGGACTGGCTTGCTTTTCTTGGTGTCCTTTTGCTATGTACATAAGCTCCTCTGAATCCTTTTCTTAAGCAATAATGTTGCTGTCTACGTACTGATTCCCATTTTTTTTTTATCAGTATAGATGTGCGGTTTTTTTAACGTGGTGACTTTAACACATCTGGCTGAACATCCCAGATGGAGTTTTTTTTAGCAAATTTGAGACCACTTCATATAGTGCAAAAATCCATTGTCTTGAGTTACTTATGTCTCTAGATAGAAGGGGGATCCTGGGTGTGCAGCCCAACAGAAGCTGAATTTATCTCATATGCCCAGAATTAAAGGTCTCTGAGAAAGTTATTCTAAGCTAAATTTTACTTCTCATGAGTTACACATTACATCTTGTAGTTACCAATTTGCAGCAAGACTGAGCTATAATCTTTTCTCATGCTTAATAGTCCCAGTATTCTTTCTTTGCTCTTCCCTACTGGATACAGCCATATGTGACACTGTCCTCCTAATGTATGGAACTGCTGTCTGTCCTATTTAGGGCTTGCAAGAGAATTCAGCTCACACTTGCAGTGATATTTTAGACTGATACCATTTTGGGACAATGAGTCAGCAGGTCACACTTCTATGGCTAGTTCCTCTTACATAAATTTTCAGAAATACTGACTTTGCATTACAGTTTATGCACAGGGTCATCCCCAAGTAACACAAATCAGCCAAATAAACCTGCCTTTTGTCTTCCAAAAATACTACTGACTGAAGACACCACGTACACAGTATTTCCAGAGCTTTTTCTAGTATTTTACATGAGATATTTGGGTCTCTGGCTGTCTGTTTGCCATAGTCATCCCATCATAATCCAAACTATCCTGTCATGAGAAATCTCTGTGCGGATCCACACCTGCTTTCAGAGAGTCAGATGCACTGGTCTGTTGATACAATTGATATAAATGCATGAAGTCACCTAAGGTTTTAAGCAAGAGTCCAAGTCTGATGAAATTAGGATATGTACTGCTTAATGTTATCTGTTGAGGATGGAACTTAGAGTATTATGGAATATGTTATTGATAGAGTTGGAGGCAATATAAGAAGGGAAAGACATCAATTAGTGTGGTGTTCTCCCTCTCCTTATTTTGGGGGATTATAACTTCTGAGTCCTGCTTCAACCCTGTATGTTACTAAGTAGCTTTAGCTTGCTGTATGCAAAAATGCCAAACAGAGAGAAAGCATCATGGTGAAATGTTACATGTTAAGTGGCAGGGATATAAAATGGGTATATTATTAATTTGTCTTATTTTGTCTTTTTTTTGTTTGTTTCTTCTTTTTTGAAAGACATGCAGTTCCCAGTTAAACACAAATGTGGCAATGTTTGTCTTCTTCCTTTAAAAATAATTCCGATCCCAATGTCAGCAGTTTAGAAATCACACACAAGTCAACAATAGCTCTTTGTAAAGAGTATGTTTGTATGCTAGAAAAACAAAACCTAGAAGCAAAGGATTCTAGGTTAAAATTTACAGATTTGACATTAAAATACTCAAAGTACTTAAGCTAGTTGTGTTACATCCTTTTTATTTAAATCACAGGACCCAAACAAAATGCAGGATACAGAACACTACCTTGTGCCACCAGTTATGTGCCTTCATTTTAAATTTAAATAATACTCACCTTCAGGAGATACCAAGTCACCTGCAGCCAAAGGTCCATCCATCCCAAGACAGACCGGCATCGGTGTTTAGAAAGGGAGAATGGGAAGAGGGTGACTCTGGTATGTCCTCTGAAGGTCTGACAGTCTCTGTATTAGGGACTTCCTGATTTGGAGAGTTCAACTTCATCATCATAGTTGAGAATCATTGTTAGCCATTTCTTCCACGAATTTGTTTAAGCAATTTTCCTTAATTCATTTAAGACTTGTGCCCCCCCCCCCAAAGTTTACGTCAATAAATTTCACAAATTAATGATTATGCTGGGTGATAAAGTATTTCCTTAATGTCCTTTAAGTGTCTCAACTTTTTTTTCTACTGCTCCCCCCAGAAGTTGTTGTTATGAGACTTAGTAAATTTTGATTCCCTGTTTTCCTTCTCCAAACAATTCATGGTTATAGACCTTGATTTTACTCCTTCTCCACTACCTGTCCCAAATTGAACCCTTTTAAATTTCTGATAATACAAAAAACATTTGATTGCCTTGCTTATGCTTATGACATCTTTCAGTATCTTTCTAGGTCTCCCATAACATTAGATGTAGGGATCAGAACTGCAGAAGTGGTCGAAAGACACGAGAAGATTACGCATTGTGTAGAGTTGCTTTCCTGGCATTTAGCTGGCATAAAGCATTAATAAGCCAAGTTGAGGTTCAAGGTCTGGTTTTGACACAGTCAAGCTACATCACTTACCCAAGACTAGATCATGATCACAGAAACTACTCAGTTTAATGGATTGCACAGTTCCAAGAATTATCCTTTTTCTCACGTGGCAGTGCTTCTTCAGTCATTAAGGCTAGATTCACAAAGAAACTTTACTTACCATAAAGTAAAGCATTAGAGAGTCTAAAAGAAAACTTGTTACTGAGCAGAATATTTCCCTACGTATTACAAAGAATTAAACACCAAAAACCAAATCCATGAGTTTGAATGCTGAGTAGGCACATGTATGCACTGCAAAAAACACTCAGTCCCTTTCTGGGTGTAGGCATCTATTCTGGGCTCCAAGGAAATGTTTGACTGCCTCAGCTCCTATGAACTCCCTCCTGCAGTGTCACGCTGAAACTCTAAAATAATAATACGAAAGTGTTCTTTATTTTATTTCTCTGTAGAGGCAGATCTAGGTCTTCACTCATTTTGTCTCTCCTACATTTCATTCCTGCAGGAAGCAGAGGAGACCTGGTTCAGCAGAGCAGCTTTTGAAAGATTTTGTGGAGGCCCTTAGATATACTAAATACTTATGGCTGGGCTCACAGAGGCTTGTAATATGGAGCAGAGCAGTGGCTGAAATTTCTTTGAAAGTCTAGCCTTTGTGGCTAAATCTGCAACATACCTGATATTTGCTAGTCCCAAGAATGGCTGGAATCTTAGTGCACTCCGTAAGACTTCTAAATGTCCACATGATCTTCATGAACAGCTGGAAAGGCAGCCTGACCCTGCAAATTCAAGCCAGCTTTGCAGAGACCAATGCTGAGCCATATGTATAGCAGGGACTCTAGCACAGTCTGCCAGCACTGGTCAGAATATACCACTGGAAGAATTAAAGGGATATATAGAGCTCCAGCAGAGAGCTTTATGCAAAATTGGAACGAGTTGGCTACATCGATAGAATTCTGAAGACACACGTTTTTGTTTAATTTCATCTTTTATTATTGGTCTCATGTTATGCCCCAGGTCTCAATCATTTGTGTATCTTTCTGAATACTCTAACAAGTAAAAGTGTCCTGTATGTATATACCATACTAGATGGGCATACATATTACTAAAAACAGGCCAGACTCTATTAGCATAGAGCTATTTAGCTGGCTTGGAGGAAATCAAGCTGATTTACATCAACTCAAAATCATACCCATTATCCTGTAAGGCATTTTTATTTTTATTTTTATTTTTTTTTTAAATATAGTGGGACAATAAAGTTACTACATTTATAGCCCAGAACACTCTCTGCACTCCAATATCGCTTGCTCTCTTAACAGCTACCAAACACTGTGCAGATGGTTTCACTAAATTATCAACAATCACTCCAAAGTCAGTTCTGATATTCCTGTCCTTGGGGATATACTACTGGGGCCAAACACATCCTTGGTGTAGCTCTGTTAGCCTAACACATTTGGCCCATTGACCACAAAGTGCACTGCCTCCAATTACCTTCTCTCTCTTGCTCTTATCTTAGTTTACTGACTCTGTACTTATCTTAGTCCCTTCCTTATCTAAACGACTGCAATCTTCCAGGTCCCCTAATGCAGTTCATGATTTGACTCCTGTTGTTCTCATCTAATATTATTGTCCCTTTCTGTGTTTTACTTTCTCTCTTCCTTTTCCTGAAGCACTCCCACAAGCACTGGGGTCTTAAAAAAAACAGTGGTGTTTAAAGAGCTTATTACTTTCCATAATTTCTTTTGATTCTCTTGCAGCATGTCTTTCAAACTATTATCTCTGTGATTTACCGTATTGGTCATATAACCTCCTCCTTCATGTACTAATCAGCTCTGGATTAGCTAGTTGGTAGGGCCAGACTGCCCCTGACAGACTTTTTCCCATCTCTGTGCCTCACCCAAGTACAATGGGATCATACTCTCTGGCTTTCTACATGCACACAGCACTTTGCCACGTCTTCCAGGGTAGGTTCACCCCAGCCGGCCACATAGCAGCCTTAACTGCGTATTTCAGCAAACGTCTCAAGCTCTGAGGAGCTGGCACCTCTGCAAGAAACACCTCCTTCTGCTTCTATTTAGGTCGTGTAGCCATATGCCACTCCCCATGCAAGGCTCTGACTGAAAGCCACCTTAGCAAGCCCTCTGCAGTACATCTGAAACACTCGACTCTCTGTACCTAAGCTTCTATAAAGTGCCACTGTACTAACTAACGAGCACACTGTTCACCAAAATATCATGAGGGTGAACAAAGAATTGGTTTAAACTATCTTCAGATAGATCAGCTGGGTCCTATCACAGAAGGGAGGGAGAAAGAAAACTGAAATCTCCTCTACTCTTTCCTTTTTAGGGCAGCAGCAAGGAACTGCCATAGCCTGTACTGTGGATTACACAGCAAAAACGCTATTTTGGACCTCAAGTAACAACTACCTGATTACCTGGAGTGTGAAAAGAGATATATAGAGACTTTTTCTGAAAAACAAATCATAGCTACTCACAAAGTAACAACAACAAAAAAACCCTCTAACCAATGGTTGTAATTACCTCTACTGTGCAACTAAAAGGCATGGACATGGGCAGAAACGCCCACGGAGCTTTGCAAGAGCAAAGACATGGAATTATGGTTTGCCAGATCAAAATGCTTGATTGTGACCCTGCCTCAGGAGTACCTCCCTGTAACCTCTATTAGCAGCCGGAAGCTCGTTTTAAAAAAAAAAAAAACACTTCAGGGTATGCTGTGTATTTATGGTCCAATGAAAGTACGTAATAAGGATAATACTGCAGCAGTATTAAAGACATGATACATTTCCAGGGCAAATAACGCTATCGTTTTGGAGAACATAATGTATGGATACGTTCTTGGAGCTTATTTACCCCTTCTTTTGGTGATGTTTGTTGTGTCATTTTCACTCAAAAATAGTTCCTTCGGAAAATGTCAAAGAGACTCTTCATAGCCATTTTCAGACTATTACATAAGAAGATGGCACAGATATTTCCTTCCTACAGAAATTAAATTGGTGTTCAGGGGGGAAACCAATATTTCAACCTCCTGAAGTAAAAGATGAAGTTAACTTTACCTACCTACGCAGTCGTGAAAGTTGAGTGGTAAGGTACAGTGCTTTGCTTATGCATTTATGATTCTTAGGGATCTGATAGATATCCTCTGTGTAGTCTTATAGTTTTAAAATGCTACTGCCCATAGCTTTGCATCCACCTGCTCTGCCAGAGATTACCATTCTTGTAGCAGAAGCAACAGAAGACAATGAACTACAGTTCCCTCTTCCGTAAGAGAACAAGGAGGGCAGGGCTCAGTTATGTATTGCAGATGCTCCAGTTCTCAGCCTGTCAACTTAGCAAAATGCAAGGGACTTTGAAATTTCTGAGGCACAGGTACCTGCTCCCAGCTGCTACCACCCTTCCAAGCAGAGTAGCCTCAGATAAAAAAAAAAACAACCAAAAAAAAAAAAAAAAAAAAACCAAACCAAAACCAAAAACCCACAACAACAAACCCCCAACCAACCAGCAAAGAGAACTGAGAAATTAATCTCCTAGGCTCTTACAGATAGATCCAAGTGGGGTATTTCAGAGTGATGATTCTTGGGGTGTAAAATACCATATTAATTAGACTCCCAAAACATCTTTGAAGGAGATTATTTGGAAAGATCCTCAGTGCTATTAATGTAAGCACTGAATAGGGCTGTTCATGGGTGCTATTACCTGTAGTACATGAACCGAAGCTAATGCTCTTCAGAAGAGAAAGTAGTCATTAACAATTTAAAGATTTGCTCATAATACCTTTTGCAAACATTGATCTGTTTCCTGCTATTAAAAATCAAACAAACAAAAAACCACAAACAAGGCAAAAATATTTACTAGATTATATTGTCCTGTGAAGGTGGACTTGCAGCCCAAACCAGTCAAGATGTCAAGGGCAGCAAGTTTAAAGCACTAATCCCTGGTGAATAGTCGCAGGTACCAGAGATTCCCAAAGGCAAAAAGATTCTGAGCAAAGGTCTCTTCACAGGGAATTACTGAAAAAATGATCCTTAATGTTCCTGTATCTCAATTTCCCCTAGTTACCACAGCAGCCAACTGTAAATAAAGCAGGCAGATTTGGTCTGACAAGTATTTGAAGTTCATGCTTTCAGAGCATGTAACGCTAAGCTTTGCACCATAGCTGGTGTCAGAAAGTTAGACTGGTGTGACCTTGGAAAGGGCTTAGGCTCTCTGTCATGGAAAGTCATATCCCTAAAGCAAAATTTGTGCGTTGCCTTAAACCTGTAATCTTAACTCTCAAATGGATTCTGAGGGGATCTGCCAAGTCCTTATCTAGTTTCACCTCCGTTCAGCTCCCGGTGCAACTGCACTGTCACAGCAGAGGAAACCTGAGCACCTACAGCCGCATCACCGTATGTGGGTCTTGCAGTGATGCCTCCTGGATTTACCTCAATTTAGTAGCACTAACCTGGGCTCCCCACTGCTCTGGCCAGCAAAATGATGCACATGCAAACATGCACAAGCTAACACCGTTACAGCTCCTCCTATAAATAGAGGGGAAGCTTCTGTTTTCCCTCTACTTGTGGCAGAGCTTGAAAATAAAACCAAGAAAATCCCGACCAACCAAATGAAAAACCAGCAGCCCCACTTCAACCCCAAACACCCCACATTCAAATTCAGTAGGGCATTAAAATGTTCTGTGAAAATGTGTACATGTTCTTAGTTGGAATCAATCCTTCTCTAAATTTACATAGACCATCCTCTTCCCTTTTGTCAGTCAAATACGATGCTTTGGCAATCTAACTCCTGGCTATAAATCATATATACATACACATGAATTGTACATACTCCTCACTTCCCTCTTTTGGTTACATTTTGCAGGAAGCCATTCTAGGCACTGGGAACAGACCATCATCTCCTCTTCCAAAAGATGAACCTTACTGCAGGGGCCTCTCCAGTCCAAATGCTTATGAATCCAATACACAACAATCTTGCAGAAATCAGCTGCCAGATTTATTATTCTACCTGAAACCCCAAACAAAGGAAAAAAAAAAAAAAAACAAACAAACCAAAAAGTGGAATAAAAACAGACTTTAAATAAACCTCTTAGGTACAATTTAAAAAGGGTTAATCAGTTCAGTGAAAGACTTTCATATCTTCTGCTGAGAGATCATGTAATGTTGGTCTGATTGCTTGTTTTGTTCAGTGAGTCACTACCGTATACAGATATATATATATATTTCTTCTTAAATATTACACATTTGATGCTTTTTTTTCCTTTTTTTTTTTTTTTTCTTTTTTTTCCTTTTTTGTCCAACCCCTTTCCCAAACACTCACATCCTGCCACAGGCAAGAGGCGCTCCGTGCTGACATTAAAGAACCAAAACCAATCCAAGGACTTTTCATCAAAGCATGTTTCATTTGAACCTTATTTCAATGGAAACCACATTTTTTTTTTTAAACATTCTTAATCAACCTTTTCCCTTTCCTTCTTGCTAATTCTGCAATTTTAGACTTCTGATTCTGGGTTGATCACCTAAAATTTAAGTGCCATTGAGATTTAAGGATGACAGGATTAGGTGACATATTAAGGCATATATACACTCCCATAAAATATGTTGTTTTATGGGTTTGAGTAAATTAAATACCTGCCCAAATGTTTTTTATGCACCTGTGGTTTCTAGTGACCACTACTTCTTTACTTTTGATTAATTACATAATAAAATATTTATACCTTAACTAGTGTCTTAACTGACAGAGGATGGAAAATTAACCCACACCTAGGATTGTCTTCTTAGAAATCCATCCATTATGATAAAAATTATTCTTGTTGGTTTATGGCTGTGCATTCATTTTCCTTCTGCTTCTCAGTAATAACGGAAAATGAGGTACTCCATATAACACCTATTTAAATTTCACTGGGAAAAAAAGAAATCCAGATCTTACCCCCTCTCCCTCCCTTCAAGCTAGGAAATACTATATTTCAGAAAAGGTGCTCATAAATATTTAAAACTTTTGGGGTTTCATCAGGGCTTTTTTTTTTTTTTTTTCTCCATTTTACATACAGAATAGCATGTGTGGCTTGTGTTCAAGATTATCCCTCTCAAAAAATAAAACAATTTGAAAAATAACAACAAAACCCCCCCCTCAAAATTTAAATTGTCTTCTGAGCATATCTGATCACATTTACATTTAGTGTCCAAAACAAGTCGATTGGTAACATCAGTGCCAGCACTACAACGTCATACAGCGACTTCATGGTATTCTTTGACAGTTCGTCTAAGTCTCCGTTCCACCGAAAATTACAAAAGGTTCTGCAGAGTTTTCCTTAGCAAGCTGAAGCTTACTAGTCATTTGTGGATGCGCATAAAAGCTGCTTATAGCACAGCTATGGCGTAAGCTAATTTCTAAGCAATAAATGGTTCAAGTCATCTATTTTGTCCTGAAATGCTACCTGTAGTTACAGCATTGCTTATAAATGGTCATAGTAAATTCAGCATCAAAGAGAATATTACAGAAAAAGACAGCAGCAGAAGCATTAGCATTATCTAGTATTTATATATGTTATCAACATAACACAGCAGTAAAAGGTTTAAATGCATATTAATGGGTACCGTGTCTAAAAATTACTAAAGTACCTATTTAGTGTATTGGATATTTTTCTCAAGGAGTGCTTGCTGTGTCTAAACAGCATAATTAGATATGTGACTTAGTACAGTTAATTCCTATTGATTAAATAACTTATTTATGTACCAAAGGAAATGGAAGGATACAAAATGTTTTCTCCCTCCCAATCACGATCCTGCATTTAATGCTGACATGATCATCAGAAAGCCTACCACCTGTATTTACTACCCTCAAATGGATCTTGAAAGATCCAAGCCATAGCATGAGCCATATACGTAAAGCAACATGGCACCAGATACAGCAATGGGCTTGCAGCCTGAAGTCAGGGATTTTGCGGCTTGGTCACTGTACTTATGACCACTCTATCATTAAACAAGATTTTTTTTTTTTTTGAGGCCATACCAAAAATAAAAATAAAAATAAAAATAAAAAAAAAAAAAAAAAAGAAAAACCTGAAGATATCTGGTTGTTTTCAGAGGCAAGGTGCAAGGTCTGCCACTGCAAGCTTCTAAATTAAATGCTGTGGTATATGCTTTGCTTCTCTTTTTATAACTGCAGAAAGACAATTAAGAATGCCAAGAAACAAATGCCCTAGGCATGCTGTGCTGATACCATCATCAAGTGGTTATTCTGCACAATGAGAATTAACTGTACTACGGATACCCAGAGAAAATGTACAATATCTTATGCTGATATGAAACAAAACAGACATGATATAGCTTTTTTTGTACTTAAAACCTGTATGTTCCCTTCCCAAACTTAAGTAAAAAGCAAACCCACCCTTTTCTTCCTGTTACACAGAATAACGTTTAGGTTCCAACCCTCCCCTTTCAAATAAAGTGCGCTGTCCATGGCAGACCATAGGAGTAATGCAACAGGAAAGCCCCTTTTAGTGTACTATTTAAAAAACAAACTGAAGTCGATTCAGCTTTCCTCTGGGTCTTGTGAAAGAGGAGAAGCCTAAGGGAGGGGGGAAACATCCCCTTCACTGTCAGTGTTGTTAATAGACATAGCCTTCGTTATAGGGGTGGGTGTTGCAGCAGCCACCGTCCTGCATGTAGACCATGCTCTCATCGAAGTGGGACAGAGGCACAGTGTCCTCCTCATTGATGTGGCGCTCCATGTCAGTCTTCAGCAAGGGGCGCTGGTTGTCTGGAAAAGCCATGGAGAAAAGCGCTTCAGGGTCGCAAACAAACTTGTAGACGTATCTTTCTCCAGCCACCTTCGGACAACAGAAGGGAGAAAAAGGGGAAAAGGTGCAGTGTAAGGCCTCGTGGTTTTGCAACGCCAAATTCAACAGCCTCGGGAAGAACTCACCTTTGCTACACAATTAGTGATGAGGCAGCAGAACTGGTAAGGCAATGACCTAGCAGAGACAACAGCGATCTGCAGCGGCAGACTGCAGAACGCTCTTGATTTTGCCACATGTGGCATTCTGCTGGAAGATGGACTAGGTATTTTACTGCTAAACACTTGTTTGTGATTGTTTCCTATATTTAACCACAAATGGAACTGTTCTTATTGGAAAATGCAAACAAATTGTCACTACAGCGGCAAAATAAAATGACTAAGTCCAACACTCTGTGTGCAAAGTGGAAAAAAGAATCACATTACATGATAGAGATCTGAATTTCGCTTTACGCAGATTGATTCATACTTAAGTATAAAAGCACTTAGTTATAGGGCATGTTGATTGTACAGGGACAGCTTAAGCAAATACGCAGGCTAATATGTACTTAGCAACTGCTCATGCAAAGCTGGGACATCTGGATTTGCTTATGGAGGGGCAATTTCGCCAAAGATCCTGAAATTTTCCCTTATTCAGAATTTGCATTAAATATCTGTGCTTCATCTTCCTAAAAGCTAAAGAATGATAAAAGAGATACAGAATCATTGTCTTATTTAAAAAAAAAAAAAAAAAGTCAATATAGTGTCTTCTCAAGCACCTTATTTAAAGAATGACATTAAAAAAAAATATGAACCATGTTGCACGCTCACAGTTTATTTAAAATATTTTAAAATAAAGTTCGTATTGTCTGCTTCTTGCAACTCCAGCTAGCATGGCACTGGAAGGTGGCAAAAGTGTTACAAACTTAACTCTATTTTTATGGGTGCAAAATAGTCTGAAGCATCTCCTTAAATTTTCAGCTTATTTATTCTATAAATACTGTACAGTTTAGGTAGAGGCTACATCTGCAGTGGAATTTTTTTCATCCAATTAATGTCAGCAAGTTTGACAGACTGAAGGCTGCATTCAGCAATTGGGCATTTGCATAACCTGTTACAATTGCTTAACTTAAAACAAAAGGGGAAAAAATCCGCATGTAAATCTTGCGGTAAAGAAACCTGCTATTAATCTACAACCGCCATTAGTTTTTAACATACACTAACTGGCCAGATAGGGTGATCCCAGGGCAAACCTCAAACATTGCTATGTCAGCAAAATAAGTATCCAAACTGGCTTTTAAAATATGTATTAAATACGTTCTTGTAGATAATAAAGTAGTAGGCTAACAAGTAGCAAGTTAGCTGTCAGAAGTACTTGTAAACTTCCCATATTAAATGGATGTGTGGGTTGGGCAGCATTATCAGCCTGATGGTATTCCCGTTCCCACCTTTTCAACATTTTTCACTCTTTTTTCTTGCCTTTGTGCTGGCACAATTGCCTACGCAGCTGAGCTGTAGCCTGCAACAAGGAACTCCTCTGCTTGAACCACCGCCCAGCAAAATCAAGTGTTTCTGCTTCTCCTCGACCGGACCCAGCCTCCAGTCCACTTCACAAAGACTCAGTGCACAGTTATGTGACACACAAAAATGGATGAGGCTACTGAAGTACCGCAAGCCAACACCAGCCCAGACTGTTGTCCAAGTTTACTCCTGGACAGTGAAAAGCGAGAGCACGACAACGACCCCATAATCAAAGCCAGAGAACTCGTAACAGGCCACTCCAAACTGAGACTTCACAAAACCTACTGGAATAGTTGCTTAGTAACTTGAGCCGAGAGCATTGTTTCCATTCATGGAATTGGCAAATGGCAGGTTCAAACATGTTAGTCATCGCAGGTCAGAAAACTAATATGAAAAGATATGGAGCAAGTTTTACGGCACAAGGTATTCATTAGAATCTTTGATCAGACCTGCCAGTTTTGTAGATGCAGAAGACAGGTGTCTCCTATTGATTTCTCAGTCGATCTACATAGTACTACCTAGCAAGATTTAAAAATGTACATGTAAATCAGCAACCCACAGCAGAAGGACGGTTTGAATACTGTCAGCAAGACCAGACTGTTATATATAAATTATTGTTAAATATTTCTCATAATTCAGCCTATTATAAAATATTAAATTCCACTTAAAAATGGTATTATTACAACCCTATTGGTAAAATATTAAAGTATTTGGTATGTTAATAGATATCATTTTTCTCCCCTATCTTGCACTTACCAAAGTACCTAAGTGCTGGGCAGCTAATTTAGGTCTGTAAAACATTATTCATACCGTACTCTACTGTTTGCCTTTCCCAGGTGCCAGGAAGCTCTTTTGGATATTTTTGAATGTTACCTCTTTCCCTATCATCATGACGTGCATTGTGTGAACTAAAACCAGACATTTTTTACCTAAGAAAAAAATATCTTGATGAATATACTGGGCCTGGTAGGTGAAAAAGCTTAGTATTTGCCTAAATAGATGAAAAACCTACCTAAGCAATGCAGTTACAAGTACTCCTCATAAACTGACTTATGGATTAACATACAACACTGGTGAAACTGAATACAAAACTAGCTACTCACCTTTTGCATGATTCCCTTTTCATAATAATAGCGAAGTGATCGGCTAAGTTTATCATAGTTCATAGCTGGCCTATTTTTCTGAATCCCCCAGCGACGCGCCACCTGCCACAAAAATGGATTAGCATTGATTTGTTAAATGCATTTAACAAGCAGATCTTATCATCAGATACTTTATTTGGGGGATGGAAGTGGGGGAACCCTGCAGGCGCAACGAATAAACACAAGAGAAAAGGTTGCCATGACCTGAATTTCCCACGTACTACTATGATTTTTAATTGGACACACAGTCGTGCATTAAACTTGAAGTAGACTTACTTATTTGCAAATGTGGTGGAGGGTTGGGGATTTTTTGGTTTGCTTTTAATAAAGAAAACCAATGAAAAAATAAAGCCATATGAAGAGATAATACATGAAAAATATTTATGAAGTTTCACCACAAAAATTTCATGGCAGATTAAAACTTTTCTTTAGTTTCATACTGTTGGATAATTGTACTGTTCCTGTATTTTCCTTGCTGCCAGAACACTAAGTTACATTAAGCACACATGCATACACACTTAGTTCATGAACTAATACAGACTGTACTTGGAATGACAGCAATATTGAGATTATTAGGAGATACAAGTCAAAAGCCAACTCCCAGTCTTAAATATTACTTCATCAAAGAAAACGAATAATCAGAGGAGACAGGGTAATTGCTTGGAAGAACTATATGGTAGTATGAAGAGTGGGACAGAAATTTCATAGTTGCAGTTGTATAATTTCCCTTAAAAGATAATAATAAAAAGGGAGTTGCAAGCAACTCGTGAAGCCATTCCATAGAGAACAATATGCCTTCTGCTCTGACTTATGATTTCTACTTGCCTTTACGTTTCCTCTTTTATTGCCAAAGGTAGTTCTGGACAAAGAGACCTTTTGTTTAAAGAGCTTAACTGCTTCTTCCCCACCTGAAATTATAATTGGCTGTTGGTGACATTTCAATTACTGGCTGTACAAATGAGTATCATGTCACCAAAGGGAAAAAAAGTCAGAGCTGATGAACTCTTTAAAGTACATTTTATAAAAGTATTTGAGAGGTGCATATGCATACAGCTCTGGAAGAAGGAGAGATCAGCCAAGCAGCTTCCCTGCACACTGCTCTGTGAAACTTTCCCATAGGTGTCTGGAGCCTTTTGATGCAAGCCATAGATGACATGCAGCACTGAGAATCGAAGGAGACTAAACAGCAGCAAAATCCATGACTTTGATCTCCATCTGGACAATAATTTTTAAAATTTCTTTTGAAAGCATTATTTCCTTTCAGTGGTGTGGATTTGCAGGCTTATGTAAATTATCACAGCTCTGCTAGCTTCAGCCATGTTACAGCTGTATTGAAACATACCTCCAATCACGTCAATTTATTCCAGCTGTAGATTTGGCCTAGATGCGTAACCTTGATTCGCCTATTCATCTTTATAACACATGCCTACATTACTCTTTGTTTATTCCTACCAAGTTTTTTTCTGCATTAATCAGAGTCCTAAAAGTCCCCAACATAACAGGCTTGCAGAATAAATAAATATACAGCAAAGATAACTACAACAAAATAATGGTTGAGAACATATTGTGTGGTATTTTGACATAAACAAGGAGGTCCAGAAGTCTTGGTAAGCAAGTCTTCCTGTCACTGAGCTGCACAGCATTTAGCAAGTCTTGTTCTGTGAAAGGGATTCAGGCTTCTAGCCTTCCACCCCACCTTCCTGCTGAAGGTTGTTGTCCCTGTAACAAGGCTAAATAAATGGACCTACACCCGATTCTTAGCCTCCATAATTCAGAGCTATCTACTTTCTGAATGAACTACGGTGCTCAATGAGCTGATACATATTCATTTTTGTTGTCACCCTTTCTGCAAAGGCATAAACCTCCAGAAAGGGATGGGATGGAAAGGTCATGTCATTAACATCCTAACCTGCTGCAGCTGAACTAACAGGCTCTTTGACTTGCCTTCAATTTACACTTGGCAACCAACAGAAGCATGCAACTTCCCATAGGCTATTCTTATTTTAATTGACAGTTTCTGTCAGATCTCTGACATTCATATGAAAACAACTTAGGCTCCTTTGTACTCCCTATGAGCACACAAGAGTGAGGCAGGTTTCAAGCCGCCTGCCTCTGCCAGATCTTGGATGCTGTGCTGCTCAGAAACACAAAGCAACTGCTACAAAGTCAGACAAGCAGATGAACTGGTTAACTTAAACCAGAATATCCAATTCTTCAAGGCATTACAGAACAAGGAAAGCTTAGGGGTTTGTTTTGCTACTTTCCCTTCATTAGCTAATAAAATCTATAATGTTTTTACACGATCTGCTAGAAACCATTTTTTAATAAATCTCTTCAATCTTGAAAAACTTTGCACATATATTAAAGACAAGACAAAACTAAGAGGGCAAAAAAATAGCAAGATCGGGGCAGGGGAAAGAATTAGATACCTCATGCACCAAAATCAAACAAAAGCCTTTCCAAAGATTTCACTCTGTTCTGGGCCAGGTCACACAACTAAGAAGCCGGGTAGCTTGCTAAAGCTGCAGGCTTGCCAGCAAAGTTTCGGTATCAATTTGACTAAGACTGTTCTGTGGGCAAATCCTCAAATGCATACAATCTCAGATGCACAATGCCACAGTCTGCCATGGTGCCTATCACTAGTGCAGGGGATGCTCAGATGAGAGCCAGCACACGGGTCCGTGCACCAACCTGCCCCTCAGACAGACCGTGTCGGGACGGAAAGGGATATCAGTCCTGTTGCCAACCCCAACTACTCTATCACCCCCTTAGGGCTGTTGGCAGACGATGTAACTTACATGCAAGAAAGCTTTCAGATTGCTTATGCCAGCAGATGGATAGCAAACAGCAGAAATAGCTGGAGGAACGCAAAAGCAGCTTTACACCCCCGAATCTTCCTACTCATCTCTAACTCGGAAGGGATCCTGATGGGAAATTTGCTACCCTCTCCTCTATTACCCAACCCTGTAAAAAGGGCAAAAAAGTAAACCAGACATGATACTGCTTTCTGATGACCCTAATCAAATCATCCACATCAGTATTACAGTAAAATTCATGCACACCAGATTTTCCAAGTTTCCATGGCTGTTCAGAACACAGGATAGATTATGTTACCTAGTCCAAAAAAGTTTATGTAATAAAATGTTCAGTTTATTCCTCTTTATCACACATGTGAACTAAGTCATGCTTCGGAAAATATGCATGAATACAAGTAATTTTATCAGCACCACAAGTCCTTCATGGTTCAGGAGAGCTGTGCATGCACATGAGTGTTTGCAAGCCTAGGATCTAGGACTGCACTAAACAAGCTAACGATACAGATAAGCAGGAAGACTCTGAAGAATACTCTAAAAAGAGGGGGATTTATATGATTTTAATGGGATTTTACTGCCTAACAATCTTAACCTCCTCCTTTGCCATCTGTCAAACTTGGGGTCTTTCACTCTACAGCGTAAAAGTTCCAAGCTCCCACATCTTCACACTAAAGAATATTTGGTGTTGAAAGACTATTCAGGGAAAAGTTTTCAAAGGATTTTGGAACACAGCTCTATCCATCAAGTGGTTCTGAAAAATCTGGACCCCACAATTAATGCTGAATATTTTTTAACTCTAGTACTTGCAATATTTTTATTATTTTGCGGGACTAAGAAATCAAGTCTGTGCTTAACCACACTTCTAATTGAAGGACTTCCCTTGCCAGACTCTTCTGTCACCCTTCTAAAGTGCTACTGAAGCAAAATATTGAAGGAAAGTAAGGCCTACATTCAAAGGAGCACTATTAAATTTGCAGGATGGGGCAGTGGGTGTCAGGGCATGCTGTCCGTCTAACCCACCTCCTCCGGCTCAATCAGTTTGAATTCCATGCCTCGGCCAGTCCACGCTATGAAGTGAGAGTTTGATGGGTCATCAAGAAGAGCTACCAAGAACTGCCACAGCTGAAGTGAGCCTCGCCGTTGATATGTGGGTCCCTCACGGTACATGCCTGGCTCCTGTTTAACATCACCTGCATAGAATCACAACATTAGATGAGCAATGTGCAAAAAGCATCATCACTCACTTTATCAGATAAATTGGCAAAGCAATCATTAGGGTTAATAAAACAGAGGGAAAAAAATTCTTACTGCCCAGCCACCCCACAAATGCAATATTTCCCTGTCTGCTGTTAATTGTAAACACTCTTACAATAACATTAATATACTAAAAAGTACCTAAATTCGGTCATGATTTATGGAAGTCTCCCTAAGCCTATACCCATTTACTTCTGATACATGCAAATCTCACTTGCAAACCATTTTTCAACATCCTCTATCTGAAAGAGCATGAACTATTTTTGTAAGCAACTCTGATGTCTGAAGAACTGCGTTTGCGTACTATACTTTGCACAAGCCCCAGTTTTGGAAATGTAATGTATGCTTCATAAAGCTGCAAAACCCTGTTGAGTGAAACTTCTTTTGCATGCAAATGCTCCTGAGGAAAATTTGACAAAGTATTTGACTTGGACTTAAACAGCATGTGCTTTATGTATAGATTTGCAAATCCTGCAGATATGCAAGTTCCTCTGTGGCATATTGGACTTGCATATAAGCACATATTACTTTAACTCATATCTACATATTAGATTAGTATCCCCCCTGAAAAGCACTAAGTTAATTTTTCTAAAATTTCAAGTCCAGAGGAAGCTTTTAAAATACAACAATAATAATATTCTGCTAGCTGTTCCACAAACTGCTGGCGAAAAACCATCCGGCTACATCCATACTGTGTCTCTGTTGTTTTTAAATCATATTCACACTAAACAACTCCTGCAAACAACAACAGCTGAAAGGTCTGATGCTGAAGCAAAGAGTATTTTTTTTTTCTGCATACAATGACAGCAATCCTTCATATGCTGGTAAAACTCCTCATTTCAACTAACAGAACAGCAGTACCCTCCAATAAGCAGTGTGACCTGTTTAATACAGAAAGCCAGGACTTTACATTCAACCACAACATTAGGATGCTCTGATGGCCATTACAGAACAGCTCCGTGTAGTGAAAGTAAGAGTAATAATATTAAAAATGGAGCACTTCCTTTTGTAATCAGGAAAGAAAATCGAGTCAATAGCTGTGGAAAACAAATAAATCAACACAAGGCTTTTTTGTTTATGTGAGGTTCAAGTACCAGTCCTGAAAGGCCTTCTTTTTCAAGGACAGGATTTTTCTTTTAATGATAGCTGAGCAATGCGCAAATAGCAAGTGAAGTATTACAGAGGATCAGATTCTTCGCCTCTGCCGATCTTTCATTTCAAATGAAACAGCTGAGAATCTACTTCTGAAACATCAAGACTAGCCCTGGTCTTATCCCACTTTTGCTTTACTGGCCAAAACATGATGACACATCTGCTGTTCCTTCCTCAAAAGTCATCATATTACAAGTATAAACACACCTATTTGTATCACAACATCAATCTTTTAGAGTACAAGGTGTTCTCTCAGTGGACAGTCATAGAAGCTAGCAGCAGACCGCCTGCTTTGCAAACACACAAATATTTCCAAACGTTTATTTATTTTACTTTATTTGTATTTCTTTTCCATTTTCATTCCCTTCGCTGTACAAAACCCAAACAAACAAAAAGGATTTTCAAGAAAGACACAGGGAAATGCTATTCCTGGAGAGTTTTAACTTCTTGGACTACAGGGTCTGATCCTATTCCCATAAATGTGAATATGAATTTGCCACTGGTACTGAAAACAAATCAGGTCCACAATCATTTTTGTGGAAGAAAAAAAACCTGACACGATATGCTTTAAAGAGGAAGGAAAAAAACATACATTCCAAAGCCAGGGTATAAAGTAGACTTTAAATAAATCACCCTCTCAAGTGAACCTGTCAATCCAGTGACAATGCAATACTGGAATGAGCAATCTTCTGTTAGGGCTAGTATTATTTAAAGAACTATTTATTTCTTGCTATTCCTCACCAACCCCAAAATGCATGTGATACCTCCATGTCAGGTATATGTAATTCTTTGGGTTACTGCTATGTTGCAGTCTCCCATTCTTCAGCAAACACAACAAATGCTGCTAGACACGCAACAGTTTTGTAATCCATATAAGTGATTTTCAGGGGAAAAGAAAGAAAGAAAATAAAGCAGGAGAAAATTCCCAAGAGTTCTCCAGCTCTACTCTTAGCTACGGTCAGAGAGCTGTTCACAAGTTTATCAGAAAGTCTCTAATCTTTTCTGCTAAAATAAATAAAGCTGGACATACATACACTAACACAAAGAAGCCACTCTAGTAAATTTAAGTAATTGGTCTCCAAATTGCTTCCCAAAGTTGCACACTAACAGAGTCAGCGGCAAGAAATAGTGAGTCCATCTTCTTTGTCTATAATGAAATAAATCTGAAATCAACTGAGTTACACCAGGAAACTGATTTTACATCAGAGTAACCGAGGATAATTTGGGCCATTTATTTTAATTGACCTCAGAATCCCTCTTGAAAAAAAAAATCTGTTGTAATGGGTGGTGTTGTGAGAAGATCATTGATTTGTTATCAATCCCACTGAAAAATAAACCACTAGTACAATGTTTAACCTAGTGCAAATACATTGACACAAACACAAAAATGGCCTATACACTCACTCCCCACCATTCATCACTTCACAGACAGCAAGACAAGAGGCTTAATCCTCAGTAAAACCAAAGCTGCTGCTTTCTCTGCCGTTTTGTTAATTATAAGAACAGCTTTCATTAAATCTCAAACAACAAGCAGTATGTGATCATCAGTGCAATGGAAATCCTCCTATTCTCAACAGTACAGGAAGTGAGCTCCTCTGCCACAACTCTGGATACAGCATCCTTCACTGGCAAAAGTCAAACAACATCCCCTTGAAGAGAAGACTTTGGTTTCAAGAGACAAAGGTCAGCTTTGGTTGGGCGCACTGCAAATGGTGTGTTAAGGAATCCTAAATTGGAATGTTACCAAGCTTTTTTGATCAGCAACAGAGAACAGTCCCTCATCTCTTCCTTTTTAATCTCCTCACACAAGAAAAAGAAAGAGAGATGTGTCATACATACCGTCAAACTTCTCTGGAACAACGCAAGTGTCATCATAAAACTGCCTAGGTCCCTTTTCATACATACAGCCTGTAAGTTAAAAAGAGAAGTGTTTATATAAAGGATGCATGGAGAAAGAAGAGATCATAGGCTTAATGCCAGAGGGAACACTAAGTCATAGAGGAATCAGATTAATATCCCACATCCTTTACACACCGCCCAATTGCAACATTTTGGCCTCAGTACAGGGGTGTTTAATTAATGTGTACATTCCCAAAAGACTATTAAGCTCCACCTGCAAAAATGAAAAGGCACCCATTTTTCTCTATGATTTATTCCAAAATGTTTGTCTCATTTCCTGTTTGAACTAGAACTGCTTTGACTTTTAACCATCAGTTCCTGCGGGTCTTCTCCCTGCAAGACTAAAAAGTCCTTCTCGGTATTTCCTCCTCACGCTCACAGAAGTCACTCCCCCTTGATGTTTCTTCTAATTAAGATCACTCTGTAAAATTTAATCTTTGTCGTTAAAAGACACTCTCTGAAACACTGCATTCTTTCTAGCATTCTATTCTGTACACACTCCTACTTTTCAGTATTATTTCAATGTTTTGTTTAACCTGAACTGTATTTTAAGCCAGTAGCGGCCTCACCACTGCTGCTTAGCGAGATAAAACATCTCCTCCTCTCCTGCCTCCCTTTGACCTTCCTTTTGACTGTGCAAATATTACAGGAGGCCTTTTTGCCATACAGTTGCAACGTTTGGTTGAGCTGTCTCCCACTGTGAAGGCTAGAGGAGGCCCATCTCAAAATATTTTTTTCCCAATATAATGCTTCCCAGTTCCATAGGCCATAGGCCATTCAGCATATTAAAAAACCCATTTCGTTTAATGTGCCCAGATTACCAAACAATTCAAATTACTTTGTGTGACTGCCCTGTCCTGCCCATTATTTACTACTCTGCCTACCTATGTGCCATGAAGTTATCTATTAACTTTGTTCCGTATCTTTGCTGAAAATGTTGAATAGTAACACTCCTGATACCAATTCCTACAGAACTATAATAGAAACAATCCATTCGGAGCTGATTGCCCAGTGACAGCCACTTTTAGATCCGTCAGTTGGCCAGGTCTTAATGTATTTAATGTGTACTTTATTGATACTGCTTTGTGCTAACTTCTTAATCAGAATGTAATGCAGTGGCAAACTGAATGCCATAAAAAGTCCAACTATACAATACAAGTATCTTTATCAATCAAACTTTTAATCTCAGTAAAGAACAGAATCAGATCTGACATGACATTTATTCCATAAAATCATGCTGACTGATTTCCAAATACAGAAAACAAATATTTATCGAACATCACGGCTTTTTCTACGTCATTCATAACAATCTTACCACCTCCAAGTGCTTATGAGTGCGTAGCATGGCTAACATTGTTTTTCCCCTAATCTGGGCTGTGATTAAAACTCAAATCTGTTGACCTTAGCCCTGCAGTTTGTGGATTTTTCCCTGCTATCTTTCACTTCCCTTATCAAGCTTCTATACTTCATATAATTTCATATACCAAGACTGTTATAAATTTCCATCTCCTGTTTCACCCTCTTCATTAAACACTACCTTTTATTTCTATTTTCTGCCTTTATTCGACCCCAGAAGCACTTGGGCTTTTAGCCAGATTTGTTATCTTTCCAGCTGTGTCTTTTCACTAGTGAATAAAGTCTTACTAAAGGACTTCGAGTCATAATCTGTCTGAATTCTCATCAATCTCAAAACCAATTTCCTTCAAGTTTGTGAAATTTGCTCCTTGGAAGAAAAACAACTAAACCCTAAACAACCAAACAAAAAATCACTTATTGGTACCAAAGCAGGAGAGTGGAGGGTACAAACTCTCTTTCAGTGGTCATTTTTAATTAGCTCTGTTTGGCTTCTTATTTTTAATACATATAAAGTACTTTTACTCAGAATTACTAAGTTTGACAATGATCTAAATTCTGCCTTACTGAAGTCAATGGGAGTATTGGTAGGTATCACATGGCTATACAATTTGGACCTGAACACCACCAAAACTTTGCAAAAATCATAACAAAAGGAAAAGCCAGAAACCTTCACTGACTTTATACTTTACAGTGGACTACTTAATAGTTAACTGAGCCTGTCACACCAATAGCCTGGAAAACATTACTTGAGGAGAATTGGTGAAATGGACAAATTTTAAGCGTCTCTTCCTTTCAACTGCTAGAGGCCGTAAAAAGCAGAATGAGTAAATTTCTAATAAAATTGCTTCTAACATGATCAACCTGTGGTACTAAGAAAAGCTAGAAAAAAATCAGTGCATCAGAAACTCAAGACTAGGAAGGGCAAGAAAGATGATGAGAGTCTTCCTAGCAGCAGAATTAAACCAGTGAACCCCAAATCCCTCCAGGCTTTTTAATTTTTTACATTTCTCTTGTACAAAAGCGATACATAATAGAAAACTTAACTTCTGTTCTGTTTGGGTGAGCCAGGAAGCCTTCTTGCCTCATGTAAATGGAATGGCAGCTAGGCACTTCTGAAAGGAGAAGACGACAATGCTAGTCAAAAGACTGGAATTAAAAGTGTGCAGGTTATCAATGAGACAGGCTGCAGGCAGAAGAGAAACAAAAAGGATGCAAGTTACAGCAAGGGGGAACCTGTCAACACACAGTAGCATTTCCGAGCAGCACGCACAAGGCATGGCAGAGGAGAAGATCGTAATGTGAGGATCACAGATCCCATCTAACATAGGGACTCGAACTCAAACTCTTATTGTAATCAACTTTGCTAAAAGCTGACTCCCATGACAACTACCCTTTAGACCATTCACAGACCAAAAAATCCATACAAGATAGTATGAATATTTTAAACCCTGTGCTTGCATATCTATTTTTTTAACTAATTTGATCTAATATTTTTAATCATTTACACAGAGAAGCCCACCAATCACATTGGAGACTTATAAACTACATTAATACAAGGAATGTCAGAGTAGGATATTGCTTTTTAGACTCCAGTCAAGGATTTGAAGGGTTAATGAAATTTTCTGCAGTTGTTAAGCATTTAATCTAGGAATTCAGATGCATCAATTTCACCCTCCACCTGTACATCCTTAAGCAAAAAAATACATCCCCTACCCCCCAAAAAAAATTACTGTGCACATTCTAATACAGACATGTATTTGCTGTGCCCCACCTCTACTTAAATCTGAAAGAAGAACGAGAAAAAATAAACAGAACTAATAAAAATGGTGTTCTTTAAATGTCTGTTTTTTCCCCAGGTCTTTCACTGTCCCCAAGTAGCCACATCCTGTGCACAGGAACTTGCAAACAGACATACACCATAAATGTTTGCCCTTCTAGACCATGTTTAACTCACTTCTTGGATATCAAAAGTCTTGCTTAACAAAGTCTATTTGATCTTGTGATAAACTCCTACCCTAGACTATGCAATCTGTTACCAGTAACTTGTAACTCTTTAAGAGATGCAAACAGAGGTCGAAAGAGCAGACATTATTTTTCCAACACTGCCTACAGACTCGTTCAGACTGTGATTCCAAATTTCACTGTTCACTGACTAGTGATGAGTATCGAAGATTTGGTAGGATAAGAAAATGAGGTTTTACACTGACTTCACAAAACAAGTGAAACACAGGGCAGTAATACTAAGTTTCCTCTAACAGTCCCTGGTCTCTCTTGCACATCTGTGCCGAACCCTTCATTACCTCCTCTCTCAACAGAACGCTCAGCGCCTGCCTCCTCAGGCCTTGAGAATCTCTAACGTCTCAGGCAGCTATTCTGAGCAACCACAGGAATCAGTGATTCAGTGATCACCCAAGTCAAGTACAGCTCTGTAGACTAGAAGTCAAGGCTACAAGTAGTGGTTCACCTGCAAGGAATCACTCACTCATGTTACCAAGTAGATTGAATTTTAAGGAGAATGGAAAAATCTGCGTAAAAAAAAGAGGAAGTTGTAGAACTGAAACAGATGCTATTTTCTATTTTAGGTAAAAATTCACTAGTATTGGCAGCAAAACCCTTTTTGACTCATGAACTCCACTCTTGCAAAGTGATACAGCAGAGTATATGGAATAAAGAATTATGTACACATCCAAGAAGTTGTCTTAGCCAATTTGGGGTTTCATCTCCCATGCTCCTAAATCAATTATAATTAACATCTGGAGTCTTTTTAAGGCATGCATTGTTTGTACCAGCATTACTTAATCTTCTAGTTAGCTTGTGCTTAAACAGTCCACAGAGGACCGAAAAATACAGCAAGGAAGAGTTTATTTCTCGTAAAGTAACTAGAGTCTTGTTATCCTAAAGTGCTATCAGTTAATTTATGACTATCAGAGTGGGTCAGACTCTAATCAAATTGTAGAAACATTTCCAAAGTGATTATTCAATCAAATGACTAACATGGTTAATTAGGAGCCATAAACATTGCTCTGAAGTTCATCAAAGTAATGACTTGCCCAGAAAAATTACTGCTAATTAAATTGCCTGCTGCTTTCATTTCTACCTTATCTAATAAAAAGTCCAACCAATGAAATTTAGCATTGCAGTTTTAAATTGTACTAAATGCTTGACTAAGACCCAGAAGTATTTTTACAAGCTAAGCGGTGCTACTTCAAAAGAAAACATTTTAGTGCAGAAATTACAGAGCAATTATATGTTTTCTTCTCTTTAAAGCATTGTTTCAAGAAAATAAATAAGACAGAAGTAGGTATAAAATACTTCCAGGGCAAGATCCAAGTGTTTGAGGTGACTGATTCTATGACCTTTTAGCAACTTTTAGTCTTTGAAGAAAAATGTGCCTGGATTTAGGACACACAACAAACTTATTTCAGACTTTTAATGAAGTAATTCACATTGTGAAGTTACATCATCTCAAGAACAGCCGAGTCCCTTTTAAAAAAAATAACTAAAAATATGGATATATTAAAAATTAATATATATTTTGTTATTAATTTGGAATACTTAGAGGTCACTGTTCCTCTTGCTAATAGCAACACAGCAGTCATCTTAAAACAATTAATATGGCCTTATATCATGTTGGTTTGAAACCATTTTTTCCCAGTAGGTGTTGTTTTAAAATTACACGTAATCTAGACACTGGTGAAATGCCTTCTCATCTGGGACTGTCACAGAGAAAAATACTGGAAATAACCTCTGCTGTGCCTTAATCAAACTACATCAAAGCAGAAAAAGCCCAAACAGACTTCCTCAGGACAAGAAAAAACCTGCTACTGAATTTAGCAGGCACAGGTTCTAGGTTTCCTGATCAAGTAAGACACTGGAGTGGTCCCTTGGTAAGGAAGTATTTTATACTAATTATCATATCATGATTTAAAGGGTTAGGTTGTCTCAGCCCTGTATAACTCCAAGTGAGTAAGGAATCTTTAAATCCTCTTTTCTGATTGGTTTTCGGATATAAGGACCAGGTTTCAGACCCACAGTCACAACCTGCACAGAAGCAAAGAGAATTTCAGACCAGGTCCCCAGCCAGGCTAGATGGGGAGGACGAAGCTTCTGGAGGCAACAGGACGAAGTGACTGTCTTCTCCTGAATGAAGCAGAGCAAAGCAGGAACTGGAAACCTGAACCAGAATTTATTCTTAGGCTGTTCCTGTTTCTGACCTTAAATAGCCTTCCTAACTAAAGAACACGTTGTTAGGTTATACTCTACCTCTGAGTTACTTTTTGGTTCACTTTATCAACATCATCTGAAGATTTGGAGGCCCAGGGCACTCCCATGTGCATGTGACAAAGCACACTGTGATACAGAGGTATTGCATTACGCACATGTATGTTCAGAGAGAGACAGACAGATGGGGAAACCGAGGCTTGGAAAGGTGTGTACAATCTGAAACAGGGTAGATGAAGAAGTTGAGCTACCTGCCTGGCCTTGGTCTCTGTGTGGCACCTCAGGTGAATGGCACAGTGCACCGGCAAGCAGTTGCCTGCTGCAGCAAGCCTGCTAACAAGTCACTCAAATTCACCAAACATCTCGACTCTCACATGATACTTGCCTACTTCCCTACAGGTATGAAACAAAGCAATGACGCTAAAACTGGAACCTTCTTACTGTTTGCTTGTCTACTACTCTGATTTACTGTTTATTACCAGCTAAGTCATACTAAGAACAGTTTCCAAAAGGGACTGTTCCCAAAGGAGCAGTTCCCCAAAACTGTGGAGGGACTCCACTGGCAGTGGATGCAGCCATATCCTCCTCAATTGTCCTTTTGGTCTGAAGAGTAATTACATGGGTTTGGGCTCCTATTTCAGCAATTCAGAGTTCGTGTATCTATACAGACACACTTAAATGTGCTGTGCCACTTGTCTTCCCACAGGCAAGAACTACAGCCCCTGCAGATTCTCTCCCTCTGTGCTAGCAGGCGCAGAAGGGCCAGCACAAGCTGGGACCTACCTCAGGCACCCAGGTGCCACTCACACGTGTCAGCCTGACCCTGTGCTACACACACTGTGAGCACGGCAGTCTTCCCTTGTCCTCCCTTGTCCTCCTTCACAAAGTGCTGGCCTGAGCTAAACAAGCATTTCTCTGGTACACGGAGAGGTGGCTGATGCAGTGGGAGAGATTCCTACCAAGTACAGAGACAACAGTAGCCTTTTTTAAAATAAACTGTTCAAGCTAGAACACATCATACTTTTGGCCTCAAACTTAAAACATCACAATCACACTGCAAGTAAGTTTTCTGTTCGTGGCTTTCCAGGAGCACGGACAAGCTGTTTACAAAGGAACGCTTCATCCACCACTGAAACACATTCAGCCTCGTGGTAGAAAGCAGCTGTTTACCACCACCAAGAAGCTCCAACCAGCTCAAGGGTGAAGAGCAACACTAAAATCACTGGAAAACAAGACAGGGCTTTTTAGGTAAGGAAGGCAATTCTTCAGACTTGCTCACAACAAGCGGCTAAGGTGGTACCAGGAACTGCTAAGAAAAATGCATGATCTGTGTTTTGCAGGAGGAAGTACCAAATGGTTCTTTTTGATCATGAAACCTGAGACTCCTGATAACCTGCAGAACACATTTAGATCAAAACTCATATGTCTCTCCAAAAAGGGACATGTAGGTAGAAATACTGGAACTACTGACAATCTCCCTATACAGAAATTGCTTGAGCATATTTCACAACTCAAATGCTGGTGTATCAGGTTTTTGTTCAACCGCCTTTAAAAGCACTATCCTCTCAAAAGCTATGTAATTGCAACAGAGTCCTACAAATTGGTAAAATCCTGGCAGTACAGAAGTCAGCATTATTTTTTCATTAGCAGGGTCAGGATGAAAAATATAGGTGCACTGAAGTTACATGGGTGAAAAGAGTCACTATCTTCTCTAAAAATCAACCAAAAAAATAAGCATTCTTTTCCCCAATCATTATGCAATTTAAAAACATTTAGAATGTAAGGTTTGATTCATCATTTTGTCTGTCACTAGCCTTCTTAGCAGCAATTAGGGAAAAAATAAATTTACAAGTATGTCCACTCATAGATACACATACATTCCCTTCTAAAA